ATTGGCCAGCCAGCCTAGCCTAATTGATAAGCCAGTGAAAGACACTGTTTCAAAAAAAATAAGGTACATGACTCCTGAGGAAAGACAAACAAGGTTGACCTCTGCCCTCCACATGCAGAAGCTTAGACACACACACTCACACTCACACACACAGAGCCATGTACACACACAGATACACACACTCACACACACTCACACTCTTACACAGACCCATGCACACACACAGATACACACACACATAGACACACAGAGCCATGTACACACACAAATACACATACACACACACACAGACCCATGCACACAGATACACACTCACACACTCACACAGACCCATGCACACAGACACACACATACACACTCACACAGACCCATGCACACACACAGACACACACACACACTCACACAGACCCATGTACATACACACACACTCACATAGACACACACACAAACACACACACAGAGAGCCATGTACACACACAGATACACATACACACACACACTCACACAGATCCATGCGCGCACACACACACACACACCAGTGAACAACTCAATGGTAAGGGTGCATTCACAAGGCAGAGTTACCCTTATCTGGCTCCTTATCTGATCTTTTGTTCCTCAATTCAACAGCCTCAGGAGGGAGAACAGCCTGGGATAAGCTATCTCCTCTTACTGTGCTCCTTCATTTTACTCAGGGGTTATCTGAAACAGTGACCCAGTAAAGCAAGTTTTCATATGGTCAGAAAAGAAACATAGTGAACCTAAGCAAATTGAGGAATGAATACAACGGGAGGCAGAAAGAAAAGTCAGCAGCCAAAGAACTGAAATTGAGTGAATGACTAGAGTGGATGAAAAGTCAAGCAAAAGTGCTTCTCTCTGCTGGGCATGGTCCACACCTCTGATCCAGTACTCAGTAGAAGCAGGAAGACTGAGAACTTGAGGCTAACCTGGGCTACAAAATAAGTTCCAGACAAGTCTAAGCCCTACTAAGGAAGACCTGGCTCAAAAACTAAAAAACAACCAAACAAATAAAAGAACAAAAAAAGGGCAAGAAGATAAAAGCGCTTGCCCCAAAAGCCTGGCAACTGAGTTCAAGTCCCAGAACCCACATAAAGGTACAAGGAAGAACCAGCTCCACCAAGTTGTGCTGTGGTCTCCACATATATGCCATGGCAAGTGCATGCCACCCTCCCCACCCCCCACATATAATAGTAATAAATAAGTTTGTATTTTTAAAAGGGGGGAGATTACTTGGGGAGCTGTAAAGCAAGAGAGAGAGGAGAGGAAGAGGGGGAGAATAGGGGAAGGGGAAGGAAGGAGCAGGGAGGGGAAGGGAGGGCCTGTCCTGGACTTGCTGATCCAGCTCTATAGATGGGTCAAGGCATGGCTTCTTCTCTCATCAGTTCAACAGAGATTTATTGAATGCACATCACATGACAGGCCCTGGGACTATGGCCATCAAGAGGACAAAAGCTCTCAACCTGTGGGACTTAGGTTCCAGGAGATTACAGCAGTCAGGCGCTATATAATAAATAGGGTTTTAGTCAATGACTGACCACATAATGTGTGAAAGTGGTTCTGTAGGAGTACAGTGGCGCTAAAAACTTCCTATCACCAGCAATGCCACTCACAGCTGTCATGGAGTCCTAGTCAGTGTGTTACTCACCTTTGTGGTAAACCACCACATTACCAAACTATAAAAGCACAGCCATGACAACTATGCACAGTATGTAATGCTTCATAAGGATGAACAGCTAGGCTCCTGGCTTATGTATTTATTATACTTATGTATTTATTATACTACACTAGTTATTATCAAGTGTATTCCTACTTACATTTTTTTAACTTTTTTTTTTTTTTATGTGTACGCGTGTATTGTCTGCATGTAGGTAAGTGCACTTGTGTTGTGCAATGCAGAAGTCAGAAGATCCCCTGGGACTGGAGTTAACGGACACTTGTTAGCTGCCATGTGGGTGCTGGGATTCGAACCCAGGTCTTCTGCAAGAACAACCAGTGTTCTTAATGGCTAAGCCATCTCTCCAGTCCCTCCTACTTATATTGAAGAAAGGAAAAGGTTATTGTAAGCCAGGGGTGGTGGCATACACCTGTAATCCCAGCACTGAGGTGAAGACAGGAGGATCAGGAGTTCAAGGCCAGTCTGAGCTACATAAGATTCTTATCCCAAAGTCTTTTTCCCCCTGCAAGAAAAAGGGTTACTATAAAATTGTATACATGGGGCTGGGCATGAAGACAGTTGGAGAGCACTTGCCTAGCATATTTGAGGCCCTATGTTCCATTCCCAGCATGGCTAAGAAACAAACACCAAAAAACAAAACAAAGCAAGCAAAAGCTGCTTCTCTAATAAGACCCTCAAGTATCTCATGTTTAACAGGGCGTCTCGATAACACCATTTTCTCTCGGCTGATTTACTCTCAGGTTTCATTCCTTGCAGGTCAAGGCTCTGTGATATATGTATACCATCTAGCCTAGGCATGTGGCAAGCTGTGCCCCAAGTTCCACATAAGGATGCTCTGCAGTGTTCCCAGATGGTAACAAACTAAGCCCATCTCAGCCATAAACCATGCCTAAGTCCCTGAGTATTAACTTGTGTGGAAAGTTGTCTTCACTTGTGAAACAGGCCAGAGAGAATGGATGGCATCTCCACAATGCTTGAGGCCTATCAAAACAAGGATTAAAGACAGAGGTCAAGGTCCACATCTAAAGCAAAATCAAGAGTGCAGAGATGAGAACCACAGGCAGAATTAAACCCCAATTAAAAGGTAAGGCAGGAGCCAGGCGTGGTAGTGCACGCCTTTATTCCCAGCACTATGGAGGCAGGCAGAGGCAGGTGGATCTCTGTGAGATGGAGGTCAGCCTGGTCTACATAAGGAGTCCCAGGCCAGCCAGGCCTACAGGAAGACCCTGTCACCAAAGAAAAAGAAAAAGAAATTAAAAAAAAAAAAATAAGACAGCAGGCAAGCTCAAGGAATGGGAGTCAAAGTAAGGCCTGAAAACTGCCCTTTCTGTCTGTCCACCAAACACAAGCCAGAGCAGAGTCCACAAGGCCAGAGAAGACAGTATACAAGAGTGGTCCAAGTACATAGGTGAATCCTGTAGCTGATAACTCCACACACTTCTACCAGGGGCGTGGGGAGGGGCAGGCCAGGCAGGCAGTGGCCCCATGTTGTACAGGCTAGCTATTTAGTCAGCTCCACCCATAGTAAGGGTGAGCAAGAGCTTCAGTTTCGGGGTATAGAGGGCTGAGAGGCAGGATGTCAAGCAAGAATATCATGTTCTGAAGGTGGCCCCTCCTTCCTTGACCAAAAAATCCAAACAACAAATCACAAGGAGAAGAAACATATACACTCTCACAGCTTATAAGGAAAGAGAACATGTGTTCTTCAGGCCAGAAAGCAAGGGCTCTGGGGATATGGTTCACCGATCAAACACCTGCCTAGCAAGACAAAGGCCCTGGGTACAATTCCCAGCATGGAACAAAACACCAATTGCTTCATGGCCTCTTGACTAAGATCAAGCACAGAAAGCAATGGGGTCAGGGAAGAGTAGGGGGCCATAGCTAATAAAGTAAGGACAAGTATCCCAAGTCACAGCCATGCCTAGGAGTGTGAGGAACTGAGGTGATGTCTATCACTCTGTGACCCGTGGTGGCATTAGTACCACCAAGAAGTTCCAATGCTGCCGACTGAACCTGCTCCTCCTAAAATCTTTAACTCCCACACTGGGAACAAATGTTGCCTCACCTCACCCCCCCCCGCAACTCCAGTTCCCTGTGGAAGTCCTAACCTCAGTGAACAGCTTTATCATCCTTAAGCAGTCCCTTCCTTCCCTTCCTACACAATAGGTCACTAAATAGAGTGATTGACTCTCAAATCACAGGAGTCAGTTCTCAATTCCCATGGCCCTCACCAGTGCAGACATGAAGACAGCACACAAGTTCCTTGTAAGAGCCCTACAAGCCCACTTCTCACCTTCAGCTTTAGCAGAATGGTGCCCCTGAACTACCTGACCACGTCACACTCCATCTGGGAGCTTGCGAACCCCACCTGACCACATCACACTCCATCTGAGAGCTCTCGAACCCTACCTGACCACATCACACTCCATCTGAGAGCTCTCAAACCCCACCTGGCTAAATCACATTCCATCTGAGAGCTCTCCAGGGTTTGGCACTGGGGTAGGTGGGAGGACTGAGTTCCTTCACATGTTTGAAAGTCTTGACCCCAGGCCTGCTCACTCTTAGGCTCTCCACCACCCTTTCTGTGCTCTTTGCTCTGGCCAGATTGAACCACTGTCAGCAGTCAATTTACCCTCTTTCTGATCTCTTGTCCTGACAAGCTTGTCTTCCAAGCAGTGGAATCATCTGGGCTTCTTAAAAAGCCACTGATACAGGCTCCCTGCCTGATATTTTCATGTAACCAGCACTAGGACGAGACCCAGGCACAAGATTCTTCTGAGCAACTCATGCAGTTCTTGTGGAAGGTGAAGCCATGAGAACAGGTGATCTGCCAAGAACTTTCCTCGCCTGTTTCACCAGGAAAGTCATGAATCATCTGTCAGGTTATGTTAAAAACAAAACCCCACTGGGCATGAGTTCAAGGCCAGCCTGGTCTACACAGTGAATTCCATGCCAGCTGGGGCTACAGGGGGACCACCTCAAAAAGACCAAAAAGTAAAATTAAATAAATATAAAAACAAAACCCCTCCCTACACCAAATTAACTTCCCTTGTATGTGTCACCCCCACATCATGGGGCCCCCACTTGTATGTCTCATCTCACATTTTACTATATGACTATCACCATTTCCTGTCATTGTACTGCTTAAACTGGTCCTCCAGGGTCTAATAAAAATCTCAGCATATTTGGGTGCCATGTAGCTAAACTTAAAAAGATATTTGAGATGATAAAATAAAATCAGGGAAACGAGAAGGAACCAACCAGTCCTGTGGAGGAAGTTGGCTGTGGCTGAGAAGGAGGCACTCACCTGTCGAATGACATAGTGAATCTCTTCTGAATTAAGAACGCTGGACTTGATATCACTTGGCTTGCAGGGAGTGAGTCCCCTATACACTGGGGGTGTATAACACTTCATTGCAAATTTCAAGTCACTGACATGCTTCCTCTCCTCCAAGACATCTTCAAACTCATCCCACTTCTTGAGCTCTTTCTGCAGAGAAGGCAAATGAAAGGATATGATGAAGGCCTACTATGGGAGAAGTAAGGACCATGATGGCTATGGCTTCAGCTTGGTCAAAATTCTTATCTACATCTCTGAGCAAGACATGAGTGTTCCAGAGCTAGAGAGATGGCTCAACAGTTAAGAGCACTGGCTGCTCTTGTAGAGGCCCAGGGTTCAATTCCCAGCACCCACATGGCAGCTCACAGCAATCCTTAACTCCAGTTCCAGGGAATCTGATGCCCTCTCTTCAGGCCTCCAAGGACACTGCATGCATATGGTGCACTTACAGACAGGCAAAAGACTTATTCACATAAAATAAAAATAAATTTAAAAAAATTTTTTTAATTTAAAAAATTTTTTAAATGAGCTGAGTGTCCCAATGTTAGATTCATATAGGAAGAAAAAGAAACGTAAAAATCACTAGCATAAATAAATTGATACTGAATTATCATCATATTGGATATAGGATGGCCCTGAACTCCAGATCCTTACCTCCACTTCCCAAGTGCTGGGATTACAGGTTTGTGCTATCAAGACTGCATGCCTTTAATCCCAGCACTTGGGAGTCTGAGGCAGGTGGATCTCTGTGAGTTCAAGCCTGGTCTACATATCAAGTTCCAAGCTAGCTGAGGCTGCAGGAAGACACCGTCTCAAAAAAAAAAAAGTGTGGCCTGAATATGTGATTATGTTTTGTTGTGCTGGGGACTGAACCTTAGGGTATCATAAGCACTCTATCACTGAGCTAACCCTGGCCCCACTTACCATCATATTTCTGATGACTATTTTTTGTAAAGCTAATATACTCCTTTGGGGAATTTAACTTAACAGAGAGAAACTTAAACTTAGTTTTACTAACCAATCAATTGTACGAAGTTTCTTCTACTCCACTGACAAACTTGTTTTGTCTACTCAGCTTTAAAAAATAAAACTCACGTTAGAAACCCCAAACTAAGCAGAGTGTTGTGGTGCCAGCCTGTAATCCCAACCCTCTAGGCCAGCCGTGGTGGTGCACACCTTTAATCCTAGCACCCAGGAAGCAGAGGCAAGCAGATTTCTATGAGATAGAGGCCAGCCTGGTCTACATAGCAAATTCTGGGCCAGCTGGGTACAGAATCAGGGTACAATGAACAGAATCGGTACAAGACTACCCTAGGTTACATGAGATTCTATCTCAAAGAAACAAAACAAAACAAAACCCCTCTGGGGCCCAGCTTATTTCCATCCATTGAGCCTTCACATTCCTTCAAAGGCTACAGGACACTCTACTGCCCTTTTAGAACAACACTTTCTGACCAAGTAATTAATAGTGGTAGTGATTATAGTGGCCACGCCACCTCCAGCGGTTCACTAAGCACCAGGTCTATCCCAAGAGCTTGACATGCTGAACAACAATCTTCCCTACACTAAGCAGCTGTCTTCACTAGCCCCATTTACAAGAAATCCAGGGCCATCAGAGACATGCCACCAAGACTTGAGGTCAGACCTATGGCCCCTGACACTGGTGGCCATGACTGTTTTATGTTCAGTAAACATCAAGTGCTCACAGCTTTATATCCAGGAAATAGTTTATCTCCTTCATTTACAGCCACGGAAATACCTTTTTCTCATTTGAAACACAGGCCATGCAGTTTCCCTGCCTCACATCTGCATTTCCCTAGAGTAAACATTGTGTTAAAAACACTTTATATATACAAAAAAAATGAAGAAAGCATGTTTCTTCATTTTTTTTAATTACCAAAGTGATCCATGCTCACTACAAAAATTCAGAAAATGCAGGAGAGTAAAACAAAAAATATTGGAAGGAATGCTTTTCCCTAAGCATGTGGGCAGTCTCTCCCTGCAGGCCACTCAGACTTTCAACTTGGTGTTTTCAAGTAATGTCACAAACATCCCTTTCTGTCATTTAAATTTCTTCCATTGGTTCTTAAATTATTAATTTTAATGTAGGACATTAGACCATTTTTCACCCCTTGCTAGTACATGAAAATGCACAACTGCTCTTGTGCACATACAGCATTTTCATTGCAGCCCTAGTCTCCAGTCCGTTTCCTACTTTCCCCTTTCCCTACCACTGGTGGTCCTGAACTTTCCCTGCTTTAGTTTTAATACATTCAAACATTTAATACATTTCATCAACAGTGGAAAGATCCACCTCCTGCCTCTAATCAGTGATTCTCAACCTACAGGAGCTTTTCCTTCTCTAAACTATTACTCGTGACTAGGTCAGTAGTCAGTCAGTAGGCTGCCTCCCCCAGCCCTCCACACTGCTGGGTACACTTGCTAACTCCACTGTCTTTTGTGGCTGGTGGGTTTTGTTTGTTTTCCCTCATTTTGTTTTGGTTATTCGGTTTTGTTTCTGTAGCGCTACAGCAGGAAAACCTAAGGTCTTCAGCAAGCCAGGCAAAGGCTCCACCACTAAGCCATATCCCCAGCCCCTCCACAAGCTAAAACACTAATAACTATAACTGGGTGTCATGGCACATGCCTTTAATCCCAGCACTCAAGAGGCAGAGGCAGGTGAATCTCTGTGAGATCAAAGTCAGCCTGATCTACATAGCCTGGTATGCAGTTCCAGGCCAGCCAAGCTACAGAGAGACTCTCACAAAACCAAATAAATAACAAAATTTTTTTTAAAAAAAAAAAAACCACTAATTACACATGCTTCCAAATCTATGTTATTCTCTTCTCCCATCGTATACTCTGAGTTCCCAACACTTCCTTTCCAAAACCCAGCACTTCTCTGCCTGGCTCTACAGTCTGATTATTTTCCTAAAACCTTAAACATCAACCACCATCCCATCTCCAGTCTTGGGCATCACCCTAGACCCTCCTCCATGCCCTTTCCACCCAATCCTGTTACCATGACTTTGAGAAAGGATGGTGTCCTCTGGATATCTACAGGCCTGGGTTTCCACAGACTCTAGCCTCAGCTCTGCAGCCCAGCAGCTGGCACTGGCAATCACAGAAGCCTCCTTGCCTGTACCTTTGCCAAGTCCATCCTCCTGCTGGTACTGTACAGTTTAAGACAGAGGTTATTCTCTGCTTATTAAAATAATTAATTCAACTGTGAACCTAAAAGTTTTATAGCCACTTTTGAAAGAGATATATCTTTGCTCTGGAAATTGTTACTGAATATATTAAAGCTGCAATGATATGCTTCTTCTAAAAATAAAAATAAAATTTAAAAAAAATTAAATGTTAGTAATGCATTTGTAGCTTCCAGAAGAACCAAAGTATGTACGATAGTTTTTCATGATTATTATCCCTTCGTTTTTGGCCAAGAATGTAACTTTGAATTTAACATATTTTACTTGCTATCTATCTCTTGTACTTTTTTCTGATCATTAAATTAATTTGTAAAAAAAAAACTTAAGTGAGTCCCACCTACCTCAGACATGTCCTAAATCACTTCTAGAGGCAGGGAGGACCTTTCATGACTGGCTTCTCCTATCCGCTGCAGACACGGTCCACTCACTGTCCACTCCCTGGTGAGCATGCTGTGCTGCCCCACTATGTCTCCTTGCTGGCATCTCTCCAGGCCTACAGGCATATGCCTGGATGGTTCTGCCCCCCTGCCTAGCTCCATCAGCATCACTCCTCTAAGAAGACTCTCCTGAGTTCTGCAGGGAATCCATCACACCTTGCTCACCTCTCTGCCTGCTACTCACATCTATTACACGTGTGTCCACACTTTACTGGCACCTCTACCTCTCTGCTAACACCCTAAAGGCAGGTCATCTCTCCAACATCTGGCCATGGTGCTAATACAGCCATTCTAACATCACATGCTCTTGCTCCTCAAGCTTGAAACACTTCTTGACTTTTACAGTTCTCATTAATAAAGTAACAGTTCAAACTTAAACTCAACAAACTACTATTTCATAATGTAAGGGCAAATGAGATCTAAGACATGTCCTATTTCAGTGGTTTTGGGAGTAGAAAGAGGGCAGGCTCATCATCAGCTGAGGATACACTGAGAACAGGGTGCAGGACAAACAAGAATCCAAAGTCGAAGGCAAGAGGCATGTGCACTTTGAGAAAGCTTTCTAAGTGGGTTCATCACCAATCCCTCCACCCCCACCTCCATGGCTCCCTGGTCCCTGCAAGGTCAAGCTTATATCTCTTACTTTATAAGCCCAGGTCAGTATGGTCCCCATCACCTGTCCCTCCTACAATGTCCCTATGCAAAACCCTGCAGTTTCCTAAACAAGTTATGCTAGTTCAGGCCTCCCCAGACCTGTGTGTAAGATACCACCTCCACAGAAGAGTATTCATTTACAAATATTTCAGCAGAACAAGTGTGATCAAGACAGGCAGTCCCCCTTCTGGGCAGACAGGCATTCTCAAGCCTCCATGTATCACCCTTGCTCTGCTGTTACCAGACTGAACCTGTTTTCTCCTGAATTTCTACTGAGTCCTCAATCATTGCCTTTTCAAGATGGTAGCTAACACACTCCAATTTTAATTTGGCGCCTTCCATACAAGATGGAAACTTCTTGTCCAGGCTGTTGTGTCCTACACAATTCTATACCTATTGGTCCCAGTAGGAACTCAAGTCATTGCTGAATGAAGACATAACTCACTGAACCTGAAGCTGTGTGAATCCTATTGGTGATGGCTTCCCAATACTCACAGGATACAGCCCAATACTACTTCCCCAGTTCTTTTTCAACAACATCAAACGGGGGGGGGGGGGTAATTAGCCCAAGCTACACATTAAAACAACTTAAGTCACTTTTACAAAATACTAACATGTAGGCCCTGCCTCTAGGCACTCTTGATTAATGACATCTGTGAGCAGTGCCTGGCCATCAAGATTTCTTTTTTGTTTTTTCTTTTATGTGTATGAGTGTCAGATTCACTGGGTGACATGGCACACAGTTTTAATCCCAGCACTTGGGAGGCAGAGGCAGGTGGATCTTTGTGAGTTCAAGGCCAGCCTGGTCTACATAGTGAGTTCCAGGACAGCTGGGGCTACAGGGAGACCCTGTCTCAAAAAGACAAAAAAAAAAAAAAGAAAAGAAATGAAAAGAAAAGAAAAAAGAAAAGGAAGGAAGGTGTTGGATCCACTGGAACTGAAGTTACAGACGGCTGTTAGCTGCCACGTGGGTACTGGAAATCAAACCCAGGTCCTCTGCAAGAACAGCCAGTGCTCTTAACCACCGAGCCATCTCTCCAGTCCCGAGGATTTCTTAAAGTATGTCAAGTGTAGCTGTGGTTGAAGGCTAAGTACATATTAACTGGCCTTCCCCATAGAATGTCAGTAAGGAAAGACATGGGAATGGCTACTCATCTGAGAGTGTAAGGGAGAGCCCCTGAAGGAAGGTCTGACTGAAGCATGTCCCTCACCTCAAGCTGTATCCCACTGATGGCTAAACAGACCCCTCCTGGAGCATCCCACTACTTTCCTTCAGTAAGTGGCCACTAAGAGTCCACTGAACACCAGGCCCCTGCAATAGACTGAGAATATAGCAAAGACAGGGAAGACAGACAAAGCACAGTGAGGCACATGCCCTTCAGCAAGGATAGACGAGGCCAGGTCACTCAGTTAATCCACCACCACGGTGTGCTGGTCAGTAACTTGCAGCAAAGTCCACACTCTGGCACTCTCTATGGTACATCACTTCCATTATGGCCATCTCCCACTACCAGAGCAACCTTACCAACATTGGCAAAGATGCAGAGCAACAAGCAATTATACAGTGCTACCTTCCCCTACGAGACCCAGGCAACCTTCAAAAACAGAGATAAGAGTATACTTCAGTAAAATAATTGGTAAATACTAAGTCTCATAATGTTTATCATTTTATTTTTTTTATAGAATTTAAGTGCAAATTGGCATAACTTAACCTTTGGTTTTTATTAATGGTTGTGTTTTCCCAATGAATTTAGAAACACCTTGACTAAGTTTGGCAAGTCTACTGTGCCTACCACTGGAATGAGCGCTCAAGAAAATAAAACAGGGTGCTAAGGAGGAAGTGACTGGAGAGCCACTTTACCCTAAGTGGTTCTTAGGCCTCTGTGAGGAGGTGATGTCTGAGTTGGGACCTTGATCCTAAAGACACCAACAACAGAGAGGAAAATAAATTATTCTGAGGAACAGTATGCTTCCTGCCCCCCAAAATACAAGTCCAAGGTGGCTAAAGCCAAGTAAGCAAGATTTAGTAAAGTCAGAGCAGAGGCAACTGCCAGATCATACGCAGTCTTACAGGGCATAATAGGGTATCTGGACCTTTCACAGGGAGCCAGGGACATAGTTTTCCTCCTCACTTTCCACCCCATCAGCAGTGATCTCACACAAAGGTTTCAAGGTTTTGGCTTTAGATGCATCCTACCTGCTGCTGACTTGCCAAATCCTCACTCTCAGGGAACACCCTCCTTTTCTGCTCAACTACCACATTCCTAACTCTACTTGGATGTCTCTCAAACACATAGGATGTGTCTGGTCCATATCATGATAACCCACAATTGAAAATCTCACATCCCAGGCTGAAACTGTTCTGCCTACTAAACCTGCTCTTCTCCCATATTTCCTATTATCAAAGATCAGCATCTGCCCAGTTGCCAAATCACAGAAACACAACAGCTTACTTCATGCTGCCCTTTCCTCAGCTTCTACATTCAACTGGTCCCAGGGGAAGGATTTCCTGCCCTTAGTATCACACAGATTCATGGAGCTCTCTGCTTCCCAGCTTCACTGTAGGTGTCAGTCATTCTCTGGGTTGCATGGGTCCCAGCTGATCGCCACATTTGTCATCACACATCTTCCCACCCTGAGGCCCTCACAGCCTCTAGCGTGAAAGATCTCACCCACGCAGGTCAGGCCAGAAGCCTAGTAGTCTTCTTAGACTTTCTAAAGTATAAATGGTCTCCCACAAGGTGAATGATACATAAAATTCTTTTGGTGCATGCTTCAATCATGGTCCTATTTGTCCTGGTTAACTGTCTATTTACCTTAACAACTCCCTAAGTCTTTAAAGACAAGGCAATCTTGGGCACTGAGAATAATGCCTGGGATAATGCAGACACTCCAAAAACTTTGCCACCAGCAGCAAGCAGTATCTTAAATATCTCTGAAGAACTACTTTCAGATTAGACAGAGCAAGCATTGCACAATTAACAGTGTAGTGGAAGAAGTTAGGCAGCATGAAGTAGCTATCATGGAAGTCAAGCTGTGCAGTCACAAAGAGTAACCAGAACCATTGGTAAGGAGGCTTTGTTCAGCCTCAGAAGTGGAACTGCTCATGGTCAACTGCCTCAGTCCTTCACATAGTAAGTTGTCAAAAGTCTTATCGTTAAAGAAACATTGGTGAGGGAAAAAGTAAAAACCAATTCCCTTTATTAACACACATGAGGAAAATTCAGTCAACACACAACCCATTGAGAGGCTAAAAAGCTCCTTCATTAAAATCAGAGCCTTACAATACTCTTTCCCAACATGCAATATTTTCACCAAAGAACTGTGGGGTGACAATGACGAGAGGCTCCAGCAATAAGTTTTAAAATAGGCGGTTGCAGCAATCATAAACCTAAAGTTTTTAACAAATGGGGAAAGAAGTCTGCCCACATTCCAAAGGATACTGTCTCAATCTACAGATAGCAATATCCTCTTGGAAACTAGGGGTTTTGTTTATTTTGCTCTTTTGTGGTTTCCCCTCTTTTGACCATCCTACACAAGTTAACACTGTATTGGACTAAACTGGTGCTAACTGCCAAAACATGGAAACATTCTTTAACAGCATTAACTGCCAAGCATGGTGGTGCACAACTGTAATCCTAGCATTTAACAAAAACTTTCCCCGGGATGGTGCAATCTGATGGGGTCATAGGAGAACAAAGCTTCCAACTTGATAATTCCTCAAAAACCTGAGTAACACTGTTGAAAATAAAACCAAGCAAACCACCATTTAAACCAGAAGAGGAAGTGGTGCCAAGGGTTACACCCTCACACACCCAAAAAGCAAGTTGGAGTGAGGTTGAGTGATAATAGGAATCGTATGAAATGACTTATGGAAAAAGGTTAGACTCTAAGAATTTCCAGAGCGTACAAGTCTTCCTAGATTAGAATATTAAACGCTCCCCCCCTCCCGCCGCCTCATTAAAGCTTAATACTTTTTCTCCCAAAAATATAGCGGCGGGGAAAAGGCAGGAGGTGCAGAAACACCTTTCACCACCTGCTGGATCAAGCCCGCACATTTCTCTGCGCGCAGGTCTCGGTATCCCGACACCCTTCGGGGGACAAGGCAATTTCCAATGGTGTGCAGAGTTCCAGGCCTGATGGAAGAAAGGGAAGGAACCAGGGCAATGGAACCGAGGAGCCACCACCCAACCCCGCAAAGAAGGGCCTCTGAACCTGCCCTTCTGAGTCAGGAGGCAAGGCCTGGGGACTGGGGCCGGGAGGAGCGGTCTTTCCCCGGGCCTCTGTCCCCTGGGCGCCTACCGCGTAGAGTAGCGCGATAGCGCCGGGGCTGGCAGAGCCGACGGAAAAGCGGGAGCTGGAGGAGCTAGGAGTGTCCATAGTGCCGCTGCCGTCAAGGGCCGGGCCTGAGTGCGTCTGCTACGCGACGGAGGGGCAGCCGCTGAGGGCGGTTCTTTCGAATGGGGCGGCCCCAATCCGCCCAAAGCGACGGCACCACCTAGGGCTCAGGACCGCGGGCGCCGCCATCTTAGCCCGGACGGAAGCCGGTTGAGGTCCCGCAGCGCCTGCGCATACGCAACGACGGAAGCGGCAGCGGCGAACTGTAAGCTGTAGTTGTGGGGTCGGTGCGGATTCTATGGCGCCGGAAGGAGAATCGGCGTCCGAGAAGCCCGCTGGCTCTGAGACGCTCCTGGATTCTGTGCTGCGGAGCCTCTACGACCTGGGTGAGCGCGCGCGTCCGAGCGGAGCGGCCGCACAGTGCTGCTGGCAGCCCGGGGACAGCGGGGGCTGGGGACCGGCCGGAACCGGCTCTCTCTGCTCCCTTCCCGCGCATCCGGCCCTGGAGCTGCCCTCCGGCCTTACCCTACTCGCTTCGGCCGCCTCAAGCACTTTCTGGCCGACTTTTCGCGTTCCTTCCTTTTGTGTGTGGGAGGAATAAGAGCTGCTTTTTCAAAAGACAGACACCTGCCCTGCATTTCAGCGAAAGGACAGCCGCTCACACGCAGAACTCACACGGATGACCATTTAGACCCAGACATGTCGCAAACGGAAGTTTGTGTTTATTTTGGAGCGCTCGTTCAACATTTGAAGCTCATTTACACGGTTAAAGCAATAATAGTAATAGTTTAGAAGTTGGGAGAGCTTGCCAGGTCTACCTGATTTTTGTGCGTTCCCCCAGTGAGCTGTCCCAGCAGCCTTTGTAGATACCTCCACCAGTGGAGAAGCATTCAGCAAAGATTGCCCTACAGAGCTTGAATTCCAAGACAGTGGATTATGCACTGTGTTGCCTTATCCTGTGCCGGCTCTCTGTGTCCATGGAGTAGAGGATGGACAAGACAGTTTCAGAAGTTTTAAAATTATTTTGTGAAATCCTAAATACAATTTATGTCCACACATGCTGGAGATCACTGTGCTAGGAGCTCTGAAGACAATGACCGTGTCTACTCATTTTTAGATCCCTAGTGCTAACGTTAAATCGTCTCTTAAGTGCACGTTTGCTGAGTGTACAACTGATGTTTAGAAAGCTCTTGTGCTCATACTGTAGGTGAGTAACGAGGCCTAGAATTCTGGTTCAGATTTCAGGTCATTGTTCAGAGTTTGAGCAGATGAAACAAATAGTAGATGAGAGATTTAGTAGAAAAGTATTCAAATTAAGGCAGTTACCATGGGTTCTTCATAGCTGAAAGAAATCAGGAAGACAGCAACATGTACCTGTAGCCTTGCAATGTGTTAAAAAGAAACACGGGTGTAGTACCAAATGTTCTTAGTGCAGAGAGTGAGCCAACTGCGATTTACAGTTCTGGGAGCTATTGCCTTATGCTGCTGGGTGAGGGGCAAGTGTTAGAGTAATTGTAAAGGTCAGAAACATACAGCCACCCAGGCCAAAAAAAAAAAGTATTTTGATTGTTAGAAGTTGTGCAAAAATACCTTACTTGATGAAAAACCATTTTTTAATATTTTAATTTTTATGTGTATGAATGTATTGTCTGCATGTATGTAAGTGCACCCATGTCATGCAATACCCATGGAGCTCAGAAGACAGCATCGAATTCCCCTGGAACTGGAGTATGGACAGCTGCTAGCTGCTGTGTGGGTGCTGGGAATTGAACTTAGGTCCCCTGGTTAGTACTCTTAATCACTGAATTATCTCTCCAAAAACAAGTTTTTAAACTATGTGTTCTTTTTTTTTTTCTTTGAGACAGGGTCTCTCTGTAGCCCCAGCTAGCCTGGAACTCACTATGTAGACTAGGCTGGCCTTGAACTCACAGAGATCTGCCTACTTCTGCCTCCCAAGTGCTGGGCTTAAAGGCGTGTGCCACCATGCCCGGTCGGCATGGTTTTTAAATTACGTTTGTGTGTGTATTTGTGTGGCCACATGCTTCCTCATGGAGGTCAGAGGACAACTGCAAGAGTCAGTTTTCTCCTTTCACCATGCAGGTCCCAGGGATTGAACTCATGTTGTAAGGCTTGGTGACAAGTGTTTACCCACTGAGCCATCAGACTGACTCCAAACAATTTTGTGTGTATTTCTTGGTACCTATAGCTGGCATGTACACAAATATATTCATGTGATTTGGTATTGATGTTAAGTAAAACCAAAATGCTTTTTTTATGTTGAAACAAACAGGAGAGACAGAAGATGAAACAGAACAGAAGAAAATCAGAAAGAAGAGAGAAAACAAGAAGAGAACGGAGGAGGCCACAGCAAATGTAGCAGTAGAGCCACCTCCCCTGCCTACTCTTGTAAGAGGCCAGAAGAAGAGTGTTTCCAGCTTTTTTAAGGAACTCAGAGAAGAACTGCACTCTGCTCCTGCTGTGGCTCCCAAAGCCCCCTCTTCAGGACCAGCAGTCCTTGCTGCTGCAGTATTGCCCTCCCCCTTAAAGAACAGCAGCAAGCTAGTTGAAGTGGTAGAGTTTCACAGCAGAAGTAAAAAAAGAAAACCCAAGTCAGATCAAGATGAACACATAAAGGTAATGAGTGGGTTCTTTTACGTGTGTATGGTAAGGGTACATTAGATGCCTATAGACTGTCAGAGGCCCCAAGGCTACCTTCAGGCTTATAAATTTGCTAAATGACTCACAGGATTCAGCACTCAGTACTTAATCTGTCATGTGGACTGGCTGACTGATGGACTGACTCATCAGAATTCCCAAGCTCTGGCCCTCCAGAGCAAAGTAGGTATTAACTATAAATATCTCTATTGGTGTGAATGCTGGATCAACTTGGGACAGCAGTGCCTTAAGGCCACAGGTATGCAGAGACACTCTGGATGGCAGAACATTAATTGCTCAGTGCTCAGGAACTAGCCAGCTGCAAGTCATGGAACCAAGACTATCTTAAGAGTTTCAGGGTTTGCCAGATGTAATGGCACACACCCTTTAATCTCTTGGAGACAGCGGCAGCACTTGGAGACAGAGACAGTTGTGAGTTCCAGCCAGCCAGGGCTACATAGCGAGACCCTGTCTTAAAAAATAAAGGAATTTCTGGCAATAACCCAGGTCTGCTTGGCTACTCCCCCCCCAATCTATGTGGTTGTTGGTGCTCAGAGGAAAATTAGGCGTTCCTGCTCTTGCCAGCCACTGTTCTAAGGACATAGTGGTGAACAAGACCCACACTAGTCCTTGCTCTAGGAACTCACACTGGTGGAAAAACGATTTTGATAATTTATAAATCTGACCCCAAATTCAATCTCTTAAGGGGAGGTGGTTACTCCTACAAATGTTTTTCTTTTTTCCTTCCAAAAAAATATCACAATAGCTTTTTCAAATTCATTACTAAAGTCCAGGTATATCCCATTTCTTTAGCGTTCTTCTTATCTCAAACTTTTGTCTATCAGAAAAGGAAAATGGCAATACTTGGACACCCGGGAGGCAGAGGCAGGTGGATCTCTGTGAGATCAAGGCCAGCCTGGTCTACATAGTAAGTTCCAGGACAGCTGGGGCTGCAGGGGGACCCTGTCTCAAAAAGACCAGAAAAAAAAAGGTAAATGGGGGACTGGAGAGATGGCTCAGCAGTTAAGAGCACTGACTGCTCTTGCAGAGGGCCCGGGTTCCATTCCCAGCACCCACATAGCAGCTACGAACCATCCTTAACTCTAGTTCCAGGGGACTCCTAAGCCCTCTTCTGACCTCTGCGGCATTGCACGACACGGGTGCACTCACATACATGCAGGCAATACATTCATACACATAAAATGAAAAATTTTTTTTTAAAAAAAAAGGTAAAATGGGATTTATATCCCTTTCTAAGGCTATTACAAATTACTACGAACGAGCAGAAGTGTGGTGGCACACACCTTTGATCTCAGAAGGCAGATGCGGGTAGATCTCTGTGAATTCTAGGCCAGCCTGGTCTACATAGCAATTTCCAGGCCAGTTGGAGCAACAGGGAGACCTTGTCTCAAAAAAAAAAAGAAAAATTACTACAAATTCGGTGCCTCAAATTTGCACCAATAGAGATTTCTTAGTCTTGCAGTTAGAGAGGCAAGAAGTCCAAAACCAAATGTGGGCAGGGCCAACCTCTTATGTGGACTCTAGGAGAGAAACCTTGCTGACCTCTGGCCAGGGTGACTTCAAGTATCCGGTGGCTCATGGCAACATAACTGCAGTGTCTGCCTTGCCTTTACATGATTCTTAATAATCCCCATGGGTCTGAGGCTCATAGTTCCTTCTTCCTGTCTCTTAAGGGCACCTGTCGTGGTTTCAAGGCTCCCCCTAATTTCATGATGATCATTACATCTGGAGATTTTTTTTTTTTTCTTTTTGGGAGATTCTTAATTTTACTCTAAAGATCTTTTCCAGATAAGGTCACATTGCCAGACTTCTGAGATGACATAGACATTATCTTGGTGGCTTGCAGGAGGCTCTGGCCAGCTGCGGGGGGCTCGCCCTTTCTTCGCTGGTTGTTGGCCACCGGCCCACGAGGGCAGGGAGAGCAGAAGCGGCGAACGGGGTCAGAACGGCCAGTGGGCGCTGACAGAAGACAGCTCTTCCAGGGAAACTGATCACAGGCTGGTCCCAGGCGCAGTGAAACAGCAATGACACAGCTCCAGGCACAGTGAAGAACAGCTCCATTTATTAGTGGGAAAACTAGAGAATTTATAG